CGCGCTGCGTGGTCGAAAAGAGGTATTCCCCACCTGATGCGATTGTTGGTCTCCTTTCCTTACATGTTATCTGTATGTGTAGAGACGTTTGATGCGTTTTTGTCCCAACCGTTGTAAGTTCGATTCTTTCAGCAGCGTCCTTCGGAGTGGTAGATACCAACATGCACGATCGATTTTCCAGTGAAGAGATTTCTTTCAACGTCCGCCTTTGGTGAACAAGAAATAATCTCCGACGGGCCATCCGGCAGAATTCCGAGGCATGAGGCAGAGGCACAGGCACAGGCACAGGCACAGGCACGGGCATGAGGCAGAAGGCATGGGTCATGATGCGAATTCGAGGGGGAAAACAAGTCTTGGTGGTGTGCATGGGACTATTCGTAATTGACTACTGTACCTACGGAAAGCGTCGTCGTCGGCTGGACGTCCAAGCCACACAAGCCATCGGCTGCGTCTACTTCGTTCCACCTCGTGTCTTGAACCCCAGAATCGCAGGGAGTTCACAGGTATCATGAACCCAAAGGAGATGCATCCCAGGAAGACATCCCGGGGCACCACTTGAGCAAAAACTTTCGCGTTGCTCGAGGTACATGGTAATGTACTTGTACCAGGTACCCATCCCATCCCTAGGCTCCCCCACATTATTCAGGCCCCAACCACTCAGATGCGCCAGCGCCAGCGCCAGTGCCAGTCCAGTCCAGTCCAGTCCAGTCGTAAGCGTCGCCTCCCACGTCGCCTTGGTCTCCGGGCCCCCGCCCTCGTCCCCCCCGGAGTCGAGGCCTGCCGTGGCCCTGTAAATTCTCTGCTTCTTTTCCCCCCCAAGCCCCCCTCCCCCCACCCCACTCACGTACACAAGCACAACCCCCTGTCCCATCTTCCTCCCTCCCAGGTTTCCAGAGCCCCCCCCCCCTAAAGGAACTTGGGAACCCAGAGGACCCAGGAAAAGGTCCCAGAAAAAGGTCCCAGGAAAAGGTCCCAAGGACCAAGCCAGCACCGTCACGTCCCGGCATCGTCGTTGATGATCCCTGCCCTGCCCCGAACCACGACCTGACTGATAATCGCCTCCTTCGTCAGGTCCATCAGGTCCAGTCCAGTCTAGTTCTTGCCCGTCAGTCACACGGACAATCGTCAGTCAGGTGCAAAGAAAGCATTGGTCTTTTTTGCCCCCTTCCACCTCGTCTGCTGCTGCTGCTCGCTCAGGCTGTTTTCTTCATCCCTTATCCCACCATCAGGTACACTACACTACACCCTTACCACCACAGACAACAAACAACACACATTCATCTATCTGCAACTCATCGATCCCATCGCACCCAAACGCGCCTCGACTCGGCTTGACTGCTCCGGACTCGAAATCAGATACGCAGGCTCGGATCCAGCCCACCAGGTGCGACTGTACTGCCTACACAGCAGAGTTGGGACATTCGACGAACAACAGTCGGGAATCACGAGTTCAGACCAAAGCCTACGAATCCAATTCAATCAATTCACCACACGAATCACCGCTTCATCACGCATCCCCCATCAGCAATGTCTCCGTAGTCGTCGCCTCGTCGGTTCTCGAATCCCGCACACTCCACTCTCCCTCTTCTGACCACAACAACGCGACATCAAATCCCACGAGGTACGTTAGCAGCGGCTGCATCACCATGCTCCTTCTTTTCTCTCTCTATCTTTATGTGTGTGTGTGTTCTGTTGTAGCCCCTCACTTGCATGCATGGCCTGCCTCATGACCAGCATCCCCTGCGACACCCTCTCATTTCCTTTTCCTCTCTGGCGTACTCCTTCTCCCATTATCAGTGGCCTCGACCATCCATCATCAGCTGCAAAAGCCGGAGCGCGGCCAGGACCAACCTGTCCGGTCCTGTTATCGGCCACAGAGTCAAGCGGCGATCCAAGGTCTTCTTCCTCTCGCCTGGAACGCTTCGGTTATCCGCCCCCCTGCATGGCTGCACTCCACAAGGCAATGTTCGATTGCTGCCCTCGGTCGGTCGGTCAGTCTGCAAGTCTGCAAGTCTTCAAGTCGCTGCTGCAGCGTCTTTCAACACTTGCATTGCATACACCGTCGACCGCCAGGTGGCATTCACCTTACGCTGCGCTTGCTGCACCTGCACCGGTGTGGTCATTGCTCCACCCCCTCCTTGTACATGTAACCTCTGCACACTCTGCACTCTGCAGTCTGCACTCTGCACTCTGCACTCTGCACTCTGCACTCTGCAGTCTGCACCCTCCATCGTCCATCCGCCCACCCTCCCACCCACAATTCCCATGCCGCCCTGCACTGTACGCCATTCCCTTCCCATTACCACCACGGTACCGATACCGATACCCAATACCCAATACCCAATAACAATACCAATACCAACACCACCACCACGCTTGCACCATCACATCTGCGCAAGCTTGCTGGGAGTCGCTCGCCGCTCGCCGAGAAGAGGATCTACCGGCTCTGGTCTGCGGCCCAGCCTCTGCTTGCCTCGAAGCTGCTGCCGCTACCACCGAGCTCCTGTTATCCTCGTGTTGCTCTCCCCCCCCTTTCGTCCGTCATGGCTGCGTCCTGATCAACTCTATTTCAATCCCCTTGATCCCTTCACTCCTGTGCTACCCTTCTCTCACTGCTCTTTGGCGTCACCGGCTGCCCATCACTTGTCTACACGATCGTCGTGCAAGACCGCTGAAGCATCGCCCCTTGCTAATCGCCTTTTTCGCTGCAGGCTAGCGCTGCTTTCTCTCCTTGCTTCCCCAACAATTTGATACCCCACGAACCCCCCATCTTGGTCACCGCCTCGACCACCGACGTTCCGCCCCCCCCTACTTGGAGAGTCAGTCACTGCTATTCGAATCCGAACATCCCGTTATTCTTGACATCTGTAAAAAATCTGTCCCACCACCTCTACCAACGGCGACTACGATACTCACGAACGACAAGTTCGCCTTCACGGCTGCAGCTCTTGCTCGCTGAGCTGTAGCATTAGCATTGACGTCACAGCGAGGATCCCACTTCCACTTACACAACAATACCTGGCCGCCATCATGGCTGTCGTTCTCTCCTCGGATGAGAATTCCTATTTCTCAACATCATCCTTACGCCGATCACACTCACAACCCAAATTTAACACAAATCAGACGTCGTCATTTCCCTCGCACTCCGCCGCCGACAGCCGCATGACCGACAGCAGCTACTCGCATCCCAAGATTTACCCAGACTCGGCGCCATCATCAGCGCCTTCGTCGCCGCAATTTGCGTCGACGGAATCGACCGACTTGTCCTATGCGTCGACCCCTGCGAGTAACCTGTCATTAGCGTCTGACTGCGACGATGCGTGCCCGATGTCAGTACACCCCGACGACCATTTTGTCCTACCGCATTACTCGGCCGCAAACCTCTACGACCCGGAGGACCTTGAACCTCCCATGAGTCCAAGGACTGGCGACTCGTACACCGTATCGCCTGCTGAAAACGAGAACGACAACTCTGGCAACACCTCAAGGCCAGGGTCTCCAGAATTCGTACTCGAAGTTGACCGTGCCGAAGACGACACAGCTGTCAGGGTGCAACCGACGAGACATGTCGATTATCTTTCGCACAACTGGAGGGAGGAAGATATCTGGTCGTCGTGGAAGTACGTCGTGTCTCGGCGTTCCGAGTACAGCAACAGCGCCCGCCTAGAGAACGCGTCCTGGAGAACTTGGATGAAGGCCAAGAACAATTTGCGAACCGTATCGCCCGAAGCCCTCAACTGGTTCGTTGCTCATCCCCGCTGGCTGGGTCAAGCGCAACTCCCCGCTAACTGATTCCAGGCTCAAAGACTGCGATGTGACGTGGTTATACGGTCCGCTGCAGACTGGCCACAACAACTTTGCACCCATCACCTCGAGTCAGAATAGCGGCATCCTGACGAAGAACAACTCGTTCATCCACAAGAAGCCCATTCTGAAAAAGCGTAGCATGTCCGAGGTCATGCTGCAGAGGTCTCTCTCCGCCTCGTCACTGGTCAAGACGGCGGCCGCGGCAGTTCAGGCCCAGGAGAGTTCGAGCGGCGGCAGACGGCTTTCTCGGCCTACGCTTGAGCGCGCCTCGACCACCGACTATGTCGCGTTTCCCTTCTCGTCCCGTCGACTCAGCAGAGATACAGCTAGCAGTCTTGCTGCATCTGTCTCCTCATCCGGCATTGCATCGCCGAGTGTCGAGAGGAAACACATTCACTTCAACGAGCAAGTCGAACAATGCATTGCTGTAGAGATCAAGGGTGAGGAGGACGAAGACGAAGCCATGTACAGCGATCGCTACGACCACAGTGACTCGGATGAAGACGCCATCATGATGAAGCGGAGCAAGACGAAAAAGCGCGTCCCCATCGCGAGGCGGCAGTCCAAGAAGAAGAAGACGGCGACCCAGCCCGAGGGCAAGACGATCGCCATGCTTCCGTCGACTACATTGAAGTACCGCGAGGACACGCCTGAGCCCGTCGAGACAGCCATGAAGCACAGTACCGGCATTTACCGTGTCCCATCTCACAGTCTTCCTCTCAGGAGACTCTGCGACCTGCGAAATCCTCGGGACGATTCTTCATCGAGACGATGACGATGACGACGCTGCCATGGAGGATTGCTCAGTCCCCGGGGCGGTTGGCAATCTCCGGCTACCGACGAGGGTGCCCTGCAACGAACGCCGTCCACGAGCAGTCTGAATGCGGAGCCAGCGGGTATGCGTCGCACGCCGTCCGGCATGTTTATGCCGTACGAAGAAGGCGAATCTGGTTCCAACGAAGGCATCATCGACCGTGTTGTGGACACGGTCAACACTGCCAGGGACATAGCTCACGTTATTTGGAACGTGGGCTGGAGGAAATGATGTCCTGTTTCATGAGGTGATTGTACTGTTTAAATTCGCAGCGATTTGTTTCAAGGGAAATCTGGAAATCCTTCTTCGGCCCATGCCGAAAACTAGCATTGTCGGCTGAACACATGCTTTTCACAGCAAACAAGCTATCTGTATCATGGAGAACAAACATTGGGCTGAGGAGGCACACGGATATAGCGTCTACGGCCTGCTGCTACATGGGGATTCGGAGTACATGGATTGCTCTTCATACACGCACACAACGGGCAAAAAAAAATGGGCCAGCAGAACGCGCGTGGGTGGACGGAAAGGGATAAAGAAAACGAGCGCCAGAGAGCACAAAACGGGACGACTTGGCGGCGAAGAACAAGCCACGTGCGGCTTCCTCAGATGCAGCGTCCTGGTCACCGTCGCCCGACGACGAAGTAATGCGCCAGGATGATAATGATGGTCGAGGGTCACACGCCAAACCGAGCCAAAAGAACGACTTGAGATCAAGGCGAGGGATTCGGCATGGCACAACCAGGGTAGAGAGCACATCCACAATGGACGGACGGACACTGGAACAACAATCGGCAGGATGCCGGCGGGATGACACGGTACGGTTCAATCGGGGTTACGGTCACGGTCACGGTCACGGTCACGGTTACGGACGCGGGGTTACGGTCACGGTCACGGTCACGGTCACGGTTACGGACGCGGTCACGGTCACGGTCACGGTCACGGTCACGGTCACGGTTACGGACGCGGTCACGGTCACGGTCACGGTTACGGACGCGGTCACGGTCATGAGGCGCTGTACATAGGTCACCGCATACACCTAGGATAGCAACTGATCGAGTAATCACGTTGCCGTTCGCATCCCAACCGTGCCAGGGGTTCTTGTGGTGTCTTGTGCGCTGTGAGCCGCTTGTTGTGCAGACGCAGGGACCTTGATGGTCACGGATCTCGACGAGACGGTCATTTCTCGACAAGCCTCTGCATCCAAACAGAGCAAGAGGCCGCAAACGCCCGTCTCTCCGTGGACCCTCCGTCAAGGCTATTGCAATCCATCGAGACGGGGGAAAGGGGCCAGCTTGACATGCTGTGCGCTCACCAGGCGCAGAACCCGGAGGGCCACCCGTTCCCGTTTCGAGCCAGTCAAAGCAAGCTGGCAAGCGAGTGAGCAGGCAGTGCGGACGTAGCACCCAGATGCCAGAGCACACGGAGCATCAAGTGGTGGCGGTCGGACGGCGGGGCGCCGAGAGAGCGAGGCAGGCCGAAACAAGCCCAGCTCATCGTTCAGCGTTGCTTTGCCCGTAGTGTTGGGTAGACCCTAGCCGATGAGGATCAGGGCCTTGTGCGCGTGAGCCTGTGACGTGACATCCAGGCCGCATGCCGACGACCATCTACACTCTCACTTGAACCCGATTCACGACAAGAACATGGTGGGACTGCGAGGTTCCTGTTCATGCTTCAAATGTGCAGTAGAGTTGCTTCTTTCTACCTTCTTACAACCCCTTTCCACGCTCTAGACCATGTCTATCAGCCCGGTCTTCAGATTAACCCCCGTCCATATGTGCTATTGGTTTTTTTATCGCAATGTCGTGCTCGCAATGATGCGCGAGGAAAATGGTAGGAACAATCCATAAAAAAGCAAAGAAGAACATGGGCACAAAATCACAAGATGCTGTTGGTGGTATATACAAAATATATCCTCAAGGATATTCAAGCTTTTCCGTGCTGTGTCATCAAGGCTTAGAACGGTGGGGAGTTTCGAATATTTACCCCCACCTTAGAAGAACTTGCCCTTCTTCTTCTTAGTCTTTGGCTGCGAACCGCCGAGAATGTCATCAAATGTCATGGTCGACTGAGTGGGTGAGTCCTGATGTGGCTGCTGCTGTTGCCCGAGGAGATTCGTCACTGAGGGATTGCGTGGCAGGCCGCCTGAGGAGGCCGGGTATTGGCCCAGCGAGACAACGCTGCTGTTGGCGAGACTGGGGATGCGCGAGCTGCGATCGCCCGGCAGGCCCTCCATCATCGGAACGGGCTCCAGGCCAATGGCGATGCTCGAGCGATAAGCCGAATTGCGCGAGGCCAGAGCGCGACCAGGAGACGCCGTTCGCCGGCTGCCGACGTACTTGGGCGAGGCCGGAGGGGGCGTCGACTCAACGGCTGGCGGGGTACCGAGCGGTCCGCCTTCGTGCTCCATGAACATGGGCGGCGGGGCCAGGGGCGACATGACTGGCTCTGTGGGCGCGGCCACGTCGGGACCCTCAAGGCCCTCCCAGTTCTTGGCGGCAGCCCAACAATGAGAGCGATGGTAGATGGCTTCCACGCTGAACATGACCGAATCCGCCGAAAGCTCGACGTAGCCAGCACCGCCCGACACCTCGTACCACATCTTGCGCACCTGCGCATCCTCGAGCCAAGGGGGGTTGCCCATCGGCGGTTCGCAGAGGAAATACTCAACTCCCTCGGTGTACTGCAGGCCGGGCGCGTCAATCACGAGCATGGGCAGCGACTGAATCACCACGTAGAGGAAAAGCCAGTAGCCGATACGCTGATCGGCCAGGTCGGCAGCATTCTTTCCGCGAGCCTCGTGGTTCTCGAAATCCTTGAACGCTCTTAGGAAAGGAATCTGCAGAGTGTTCGTGTCGTAGTTGTAGGCTTTGTGCAAAACAAGGATGAGCTCGTGCTCCTTGATGCGCTTATCGATGCGCGCCTGTTCCTTGGCCGGCTTCTGGTCGTATGTCTCGAGAATAGCGCGCATAGAAGGGATCTGAGGAATGTCGAAGGGAATCGGCGGCAGCACGGGAGGTGTCGAAGCGTCGAACTCTGTGAGGACCTTGCGGAGGGCCGCAGCTACTGGGTTATCGCTCGTAGAATCGTCATCAGGACCCCCGTCAATGACGCGCGGCGTCAAGTCTTCACGGTCGACAAGCAGATCATACAAGGCACACATATCCGAGTATAGTGCCTTGAGCACCAAACGGTTGAGGCCGCTCTCGGAGAACGGGTTCTTCTTGCTGCTGGCCTTGGGTGGCCAGTTGCCGAAATTGGACTTGTAGTAGGCGAGCACAAATGTCCGCATCTTGTTGAAGGATTGGCGCCACTGCTTGAACCGAACGCTCTTGACTTCGGCAATAGAGGTCGAATTGGCAATACCAGAGAAGAGCGAGGGGAAGTCAAACTGCTCGAGTCTGCCATTGATATTATGCTGGCGGTTGACAAGGTCTAGGTGAGCCCGCTCAAGCTTCTGTCGTGTTTGGGGCGAGAGCTGATCAAACAAAGGCGACTTGAGCTCAAGTATGGGTGTATACTTGCCGACTGCGTGAGCAAAAGCCTCACTGTAGAGCTCCATCGATCGCATGCGCTCGCCGAGGATGAGTGCCTCTAGCGTCTTCTCCCGGCTGTGTCTCACATCGGAAAGTGCCAACTGCGAGTTGAAGAAACTGAAGCTCATGTCAACGGCGTCACCGAAGCTCGATCCATCAAGATTGGTGAAGCCAAACTCCAGAAGAAGGTTCGAGATCTGGAGGAAGGCGGTGAAAGTTGTAGGGTTGGCCTTTGTTGCCACGAGTGGCTGTCCCGTGAGAAAGGCGAATAGGTTGCGAATCGCGATGAGGCGATCAAAATCGCCACGTTGCGGCTGGGGCTGTCCAGATGCAGCCAATTGGGCATTATCGGGAGGCACTGCGGCACCCGGAAGGAAGAGGCGAAGGTCGCCAGCGCCATCCTCGCCGTCCGCCGAGGGCGACGGTGGCGAGTATCTTCGTGAAAGTGCATCGTCGGCCGTCAAGCTGTCTCTGCCCGAAAAGCTCCTGGCTCGGCTTCTGATCCCTCCAGGACCCATTTCAGACTGAATCAAGTCGTTGAACACTTGCGAGGAGCTGATAGCGTAGATAGGGACTTTGAAAGATGGCCCTATACCAGCACCCGGAGGGAAGAGGTAAACATAAACAGCTCCAGATTCGTTCCAAAGCTCGGGTACCTAGCGCATCCAGTCAGCAGACGAAGACATCCCGCGGAAGATATGCTTTTTACCTTCTCTCCATCAGC